AATATATAAATAATCCTCCAAAAGTACACAATGACCTAACCATAACATATACTATCATCTGGCTAGCTTTGGCCACATCTTCACATTCCATAACCATGAAACAATTTGTTGTTGAGAACTCATGATCCCTAAGTCTATACAACACATGAATCACCATATCTGATCTGAACCCCACCGCCCGAATATCTAACACATCTCTCACACACAATCATCCCACAAAGAATACTTCTATAATTCTTCTGTGCCACATAGCAAAAATTTGAATATCAGTAGTCGATCAACCTGGCGAGTACCGCAATACCCAATAAAGCATCCGTAAATCAACACTCAGTGTGCCTTCTGAAATACGCACCCTTCTTAGGAATTACCAAGCAGTTATAACATTCATCTATATATCTGAAACTGTCCATGATGTCCAAAATTCATGACCTTCCCTCCAACTATGAACCGTGACCTTGCACATACAAAAACTCAATCCTACACAACACACGGCATCTATCATGCAATCATATGAAATGTACGAGAATCTCATAATCAACTCTAAGTCACAAGAAGAATACATACCGGATTAGTCAGAAACCTTCCATTTGATCTCATCCAGGAGAAAATCATAATACAGAACATGCTCCTCATGCCAGTAGGAAATATCCATCCCAAGCTTTGATATAAAACATCGAGAACTCTTCGAAACTCATTTTTCCATAACCAAACCATCAGAACTAAGTCTCTCTAACTCAACCAAGCCATGTTGGTTCCCAAACCCCAGAGTATTGCCACATAACACCTATAGAAACTCACCGCATCATAAGTACCCAAGGAACCGATCGTATCCATTGTCGTGTTGATCCAACCTACTACCAAACTATCCTATTCCTCTGAGTTCCTTCCAAATTACCCCCCAAGGTGACACTTCTCCTTGCCAGAACACCATGATCCTTAACCAAAACTCACCCCACGAGATCCTAAAATAAAATCACACCACCTGAAGGCCCATAAGCCGTTGTATTCCCTCTTAGCACCCCCAAAGTATCACAATCGAGACACCCACTCTGAAGAGACCTTATGTGAATCTAAAACTATTTCCTTTACCTCCCTGATACAAAATGTAGAATCCATAGAGACATAGTAATGCCATGAGTCTATACTAACATGTAGAATCCATATAGACATAGAAATACTACAAGTCTCGACACCATCCAATGTAAATCTCAGATCCTAACCATGTACAAATCAGAAAAAAATCTCGATTGCTACACATAAACCTTGAATCCATTAGAACCTTCTCAAAAGTCATCCACTCTGCTCAAATCTAAATTACACCGTCCAAACAAGCCAAAAGACATGTGTCCCATTAGCACAACAACACTCAAAGAAGTAAACCTGCCTTAACACCACTGATCAAATTCATACTTCGTGCACACTACATCCTTCACAAATAACAACTCACTCATCCCATGATTTTCATATACTCATAAAGTGCAATATAACCCGTAGCCAGGAATTTTCTTACTCAAGTCATCCTCGATCTCAACTTTCTCAAGTCATAACGGATCCACAATTATGTCTCAGACCCACAACTAGTATTTAACACATAACTATAAAATTAAATCGTCACTAGCAGGCTCCCCCACTTGTCTCAAAGACATAGAATAAAACATTCGGTGACTCTCAATACCTATACTCTATTACTGCCATACTACCGCAGTGAGATTTAACCAAATTATTTACAAGCTCATGCAACACAAATCATATAGTACCTCAAATCATCTGCTAAGCCCGCCTTCATTCTCTTGACGGTCAGGTCAACTTTCGCAACCAATTCAAATTCAAATCTCAACATATATAACTCGCTGGTAGAAAAGAAATTCTCCACAAAACATTATGGGAATCACACATCCGTAAATTACCCCGTAGGTGATAACCCACCTGCTTAGCCTCAAACTGGCGTCTTTCTATATACCCTTTTACAGCCACAACTACTACGTAATCACTTAACCTTCCTGAGTCTGAACTCACAACAAGACATAAAAATCTACTTCGTTCCACAATAAAATAACATGAAAAATATTTCAACACACTCATAACTCGAGACTATAGGTCACATCAAGACAGTAATCAAACACCCAATGGTCCTTCTCACATCTCAAGCAAACTCTTCTCGTCACATTCAAACCATCTGAACACATCCCGCAGTCACATCATAATCATCATATAGCCATTCCACCACTCATCGAGCCACAAATTCCACTTATAGGGACACTAGCGTACATATAAGTCCAAAAGCATATACTCACACAATCGAAATCCCGTGCTCAAGCTACAGTCAAACCCCGGCCTCAAGTCCTCCAGAATGGCCCATCATCAGCATACCGAAATCACATCTCGCACCTCATCCATGGAATCACAAGCCGGCGATGCATTGTTGATACCGAGCGCTCACATGTGCATACGAATGCGTGGAGAGAATTCAAAGAGTTATGTTTCAAGCTGAATCAATGTCGCATGATAAGAAAAGAAATATGGGAAGTTTAACCTAAATGCCATGTAGCCTCTCAAAGATAGGTATGGACGTTATCATACCGATCCGCAAGACTCTACTAGATACTTGCTCATGACTTGTAGAACCTATGAACCTAGAGCTCTGATACCACCTTGTCGCGACCCAAAATCTAAACCGTCGTGATGGCACCTAACCCAACCCGTTAGGTAAGCCAATTAACAAAATAACATAATATAATAACACTGATGTGAATCAAAGATGAGATAACTGAATTTTATACAACTCCCCAAGGACTGGTAGTACAAATCTTGAGCTTCTAAGATTTAAAATTTACAAAGCTGGTATGAAATAAAGTACATCATTTGTTAGGAATATACATGAACAGATTAAAATTCTAAAGCTACCAAGATCGAGAGGCAGCTATGATTGGAACGCAGGTACATCTTCAAATCCAGCTCCCGCCGTGCACAACAACATCTGCACGCAAGGTGCAAAAGTGTAGTATGAGTGCAACCGACCCCATGTACTCAATAAGTAACAAACCTAACCTTAGGTTGAAAGTAGTGACGAGTTGGGACAAGGGTCAGCGTCCAACTCCAATAACCACCATTAGTTCATAACAATATGATAAAGATGGTATAAGAAATAATTTAGTTGGTTCATAGTTACGAAAAATAAGCATGCTTTTCAAGTATAACAGTAGATCCCAGATCTTTCACCTAAAACCTCAAAAATATATGAATAAGTTTGAAAATTGTGATTTACCCAAAAACCTTTAAAAAAAATAAACAAGATGTTTCTTTTTTCAGATAGCATGGGAAAAATACATCTCTATGCCTACATGTCAATATACAGGTGAAATCATGAATGTCACCAAAATCGGGTAGCATGAGAAAATGCATCTCTATGCCTGTATCTCAAGTGCGCATGTCAAATGCAATGCATCTTAATAATGAACTCATATACTCACACTCTCTTAGAGTACTCAATATCAGTGACTCGTATTCTCACTCATCATGCTCAATACTCAGCACACTCAGTCACTCAGTACTGTATAGGGAAGATCCAACCCAAACATAATAACTACTAGCAACTGCGTTCACTGGGGGTGTACAGACTCTGGAAGGCCCTTTCAGCCCAAGCGCTATAATTCGCACGGACAACTCACGTGTTGCACGGATAACTCACGTGCTGCGCGGACAACTCATGTGTTATAGTATCAATATTTGGATCCGCACGGACAACTCACATGCTATAGTATCAATATCTGGATCCGCACGGACAACTCATGTGATGCACGGACAACATACGTGCCATAGTATCAATAACCTCGCAATCAGTCTCTCGGGATCACAATGTCATGAAACTAGCTTAAAATGATGATATGATGTATCGATAAATAACAACATAGACTGAGATATGATATGCAATGAATGTATATGACTGAGTACGAAATTATAATTTAAACATATAATTCGACTGCAGAAATGACCTCAGTGGGTCCCAATAATACTAGAATTTGCCTAAACATGATTTCTAACCTGAGTTACAGCTCAATTTCTCTAACACATGATAAATACATGGAAAAATACAAGTTAATTGACTGTATAACTCTACGGAATCAACTGAGCCTCAATTTCTACGGTTCACGCCCACACGCCCGCCACCTAGCATGTGCGTCACCTCCAAACAAATCACATAACACGTATAATCAGGGTTTATACCCTCAACTCTAAGTTTAGAAGTGTTACTTACCTCGAACATGCTAAATCCAATACCGAGCAAGCCAAGTGATGCTCCAAATATGCCATCTCGCGCGTACCAACCTCCGAACGGCTCGAAACTAGCCAAAAGCAACTCAAATATATCAAATAATGCCAAAGGAAACAAACTCATTCGATAAAGGTCGAATCTTTAATCAAAATCCCAAAATCAACCGAAAAGTCCAACCCAGGCTCGTGCCTCGGAACTCAACGAAACTCACAAAATTTGACAACCCATTCAATTTCGAGTTCAACCATACTAGTTTCACTCAAATCCGACTTTGAATCGATATTCAAACTCAAAAACTCACTCTATGAAACTTTAGGCTAAAATCCCCAATTTATCTTTATAATTCATAATCCAATTACCAAAAATAAAGATAGAATCACGAAATATAATCAAAATGGAGTGTAGAAGACTAACCCCAATCCACGAGATAAAAATCGCTTCAAAACTCGCCTCAATCCGAGCCTTAAATCTCAAAATATGATAAAAGAACTAAAAGCCTCGATTTAATACTGTTCTGCCCAGTCCTCGTCGCATCTGCGACATCCCAGCCGGTGCGACCCTGCCTTCGCTCCTGTGAACAGGCCCAAACTCAGCAGCCACCGCTTCTGCGGTCATTTCTCTGCTTCTGCGGTCGCGCTTCTGCGCTAAATTCACTACATGTGCAACCCTCTCACCCACAGTCCATTTCCTCTCCTGCGATCAAAATGTCAGCACCTGCGGACCCACTTCAGCTCCCCAACTTCCGCACATGCGGATTCTGCTCCCAGGCCAAGACTTTCACTCCTACGCTGCAAATACCGTGTATGCGGCGCCGCACCTGCGCCCAAGGCTCCGCAAGTGCAGTCACACCAGGATCCCTGCCAAACCAGCATAGTCAAAAATGATCCAAACGATCCGAAACTCCTCCGAGTCACTCGGGCCCTCGTCCAAATATACCAACAAGTCTCATAACATAGCACGAACCTACTCGATGCCTCAAATCACGCATAATAATATCGAAACGAAGAATCGCACCTCAAATCAAATATAATGAACTTTGAATCTTTCAACTCCAAACTCGTGCTGAAACATATCAAATCAACTCAGAACGAACTCAAATTTTGCGCAAAAGTCCCAAATGACATAACGAAACTATTTCAATTCCCGGAATCACAATCTAAATCCGATATCATTAAAGTCAACTCCCTGTCAAACTTGTAAACATTACAATCCTTCAAATTTTTCACTTTCGCCAATTAGTACCAGACCTTCTAAAAATATCCAAATGCAAAATTCGGGCATACGTCCTAGTCCAAAATCACCATCCAGACCTAACGGAACTATCAAAACTCTGTTCCGAGGTCAAATTCACAAAAGTCAACTTGGTCAACTCTTCCAACTTAAAGTTTCGACAATGAAATTCATTCTTCCTAATCGATTCCGAATAATCCAAAAACCAAAACCGACGATTCACACAAGTCATAATACATCATACGGAGCTACTCATGCTCTCAAATCACCGAGTGAAGTGCAAATGCTCAAAACGACCGGTCGGATCGTTACAATCTCCCACTAACACAATTAGTATTTGGTTTGTAACGAGTTATATTAAGATTATAATTATAATGTAATAATATAATATGAAAAGTATTGTACACTTTTACTAATAGATGTTTATTTGTTGGAACTAAAAATGAATATGAAATATAAGATAAAATATGTATTATTTTTACATTGGATAAATATGGATAACATTTTGCTTTCAATTATAACATTGACTTTCTTAAAAGACTTTGGGAAGAGTTTTGGAAAAGGCATATTTATCATTTATTTTATTTCACAATTAGTAATTTCGCGATTGTTATCCAATATTATATTAAGTGTGGTATAAAAATAATACCTATTACACAATGGTGGTATAATAAAATACCAATCACCTAGATGGCTAAGCCTAGGGATTGACAAATCTATAGTGACGAGTTTATCTTTTTCTGAGCGGCAACTATTTTTTCTCTTCTCTTTTTTTCTTCTATGTGCCATCTCATTTTATGTGATACACTTTTATTTCTTATTTGTTTAAAAAAGAACGATGCCTTCTCTTTTGAAAATGATTTAACGTTAATAATCACATTTTAAGTATATTTTTTATAAGGAGAGAGAAAATGAAAGAACATGTGAAATTCTCACCACTATTCATTCAAACATATAATTTTTATACTTTGCATATATTTAGTTTGCATGTCAAAAATTCTTTTAGTTTCTTGAATTATGTATCAAGAAATTATGTCAAACTCTTCACATAAAACAAGACATAGGAAATAATAATTTTAAGTTTTTAATCTAAATAATCCTTTAATTTTTGAAGGTCGAATCTCACATTTGGTTAAAACCACAGGTCAAAACCTCAATTTTTTTGTCTATAAAAAGCTTCATTCAAGATCATGTAACCTCATACTCCTGAACTATGGCATAGACAAATGTTATACTCGTGATCATGCAAAATTAGATACTTATTTTTACCAACATTATACGTACTTGAAACATAGACACTTTTTTCCCCTTTGAATCACTTTCTTGCATATTACCAATCTCTTGATAAAGTCCAGAAAATCAAATGCGACATAAAATCACTCTCTTTTGGATAATGTTCGATATATATCGAACATATTTTTGTACTTATTTTTCTTCATGCAGTCGATAGTGTCATAAAATTTTCGATAATAAAGTTGAAAAGACTTGCATCTACTAAACCATAACGTTTAAAGTTAAGTTATTTAGTTTGACGCACAATTTTATCAATCAAAACATAATAATATATCAATTGACAAAGAAAAATACACAGTAACTATCTTTTCTATAAACCATGCAAGAGAAACAAATTAAACGACATAAAAAATAAACTAAACTACTTAAACAATTAAACCAAGCTACTAAAAATTGCTGCCATTATCAAACTAAAGAACCAAACCAAACCACTTGAACCACCAATAATACTAGCTGCAGCTGATTTTGTAGGAGCTGGTGCTGGTGAAGTTGACGGCGTTTCGACAGATGTCTTATTGTGATTGGGAGATAACACAACAACGATTAGTTTCTGGCTATTTTTGCAATTATTAGCATGTCCACTTATGAAATAGAATGGACCTGATTTTGGAAACTTGAATTTGGAATGACCATTTTTGAGAGCATGAATTGGCTTGTCCTTTTTGCATTTGATGTAATCATCTTTGTGAACTATAAGAACTGAATCATGGCCTTTCTTGTACTTGAAAACTACAATGAGAAAAAAAAATCAAGAACACAACTCATTTAAACAAGAAAAATCCAAAAAGAATGAATTATTAAATAAATAAATTTCATATTTTTTGTCTAACAATGTAAAACATTATAGAATTATTTAAAAGATAACTACAATAATAATGTGTAATCAAAGTGAGGCTAAAATAAGACAAGTTTCCTACCACATCAATATGTTAAAATACACTAACGATCAATAGAATGAAACACAAATACACAAAAAGTATATGCATCGGGTGACGGATGTAGCCTTAGTGCTACTGCTTCAACTTAATACAATATTTTTTAACACGTAACATAAATATATATGTGTCTGAAAAAAAATTAAGTTTCAACAAATATTAAATTCTAACCATAATTTTAAAATCAAAGTGGTAGTGAGTTTAGAACTAAAAAAATTCAAATATTGAAACGATAAAATTAAAATACACAGACAATCAATAGAATGCAATGCAAACACAAAAAGAAGTATATGAATTAAGTGGGGGATGTAGCCTTAGTTTTAATATTTTTTAACACGTAACATAATCATATGTGTGCAAAAAATAATAAAATTTTAACAAATATTAAAGCCTCACCATAATTTTAAAAGTACAGTGAATTCAGTATTAAGAAATACCAATAGTATCATTGACTTGAAAGCGATTTCGTTCAGCCCAATGGTTATATGATTCAGAAGGCTTTAAAATCCAACCATTTTTGCCACCAGCATGGAATGTATAAGCTTGAGATGAGCAGAAAAATTCCAAGAAAACCAGAAATAAAAAGCTAATATATAAAGGATATTCCATGATTTCAGAAACTCAAAAAGAAGAGTGAAAAATTCAGCTGTCAAAAGATGCAAATTGCACAAAATGAGGAAGAAAATAGAAGAGAAAAATGATAGACAATTGGGAGAATTTTGGGACTTTATTAGGGGAAAATTACTAGCAATATTTATAGAGATAGTGTATGAGTTTACCGTTGGGTTATTTTGGGCGTATATGGAAAGTCTTAGCTGTGAATTTGTTACTATATGTTAAAACCTCATAAATTTGGTGAGGTAGTGTTTAATGATGAATAAATTGTATTTTCCAGAAAAATGTTTACATCTGGCCTTCTATTGGAGAAATAAAATGTCATCCCAAATTCGAAAATAACGTTTTTCTTAACGGTATTAAAAAAATTACATTATAAATATAATGTATTTTAACTTGTTGTAACATGTTATTTTCTAAGTAATAGGCCTAAATATTATAGATGGTCATCTATAGCTATTTTTAAGTTAGCTCATAAAATAAATACATGTTTCTTTCGCTTCAATTTTAATTATCTTGATGTGTTGTTACTGTTTGTTGATATTGCTTTTTTTTATTTTTATTTTTTTTAGCCGAGTCTATTGAAAATAGTCTATCTACCTTCTCAAGGTAAAGGTAAGGTTTGCGTACACACTACCCTCTCAAGTCTCACGTGTAATATTATACTGGGCTTCTTATTGTTGTTATTGTTGTTGTATTGTCAGTGTATATGGAGTAACTGATCATTCTAAAAATAAGCAAATGAGGAAGTAAATTGTTATAATTACTCGGGAAAAATAGTATGTATGTTGGCAAACATGTCATTCCAAATACAGAAATAACATTTTTCTTAACAATATAAAAAAAATTACACTATCAATGTATTTTAACTCATTGTAACATGTTACTTTCCTTTTTCTAAGTAATAAATCTTACTTATTATCGATCTTCTATAGCTATTTTAAGTTAGCTGATAAAATAAGATATTTATATTGTCAGAGTGTATAAAAATAGGAGTAACTCATTCAACAAATAAGCAAACGAGCTGAAGCAAATTGTTATTATTACTCAGGGAAAACAATAGTATGTACGTTGGCCAAAATATAACGTGTATAGCCAAGTTTTTACTAATTATTAGCAGTCATAATGAAGAAAGATAACGTTCCAATTAACCACTTCGTTATCCGTTACTATTTTATTATTTTTTGCAAGACTACATTATTGGACATCAGTTTTGCAGAATCTCTGATTAGGAAATTCTATTAGTTTTGAAATTTATACAACTTGAAAGAGAAATTTCTTTAAAATGCCTAACAACTTATTAATTTCTATAGCTTTTCTAGCCCATTAAATCAACTAAAATAATATCATGCTACTGTTACAAAAAAATGAAACAGCTTATAGAAATTATTTTTGATTAGTTAATCATTCGAAAACAACAGAATGCTTCAACGGGATTTTGATTATAAAGCATTTCATCAGAAACAAATTTCTATCCGTGATTTAATTATTTTTTCTACAGCTAATAATAACCATATGGTTAGGTGAATTCTAAGAATAAATCGTTATAGACTCCTCGTTTTTCATTTATGAGTCAATTAAATTAAAGGAATCAGTTATATACACCTTTCTTGCCTGGAATATTGTTATAATTAACACTTTAAGATCATTGGCAATTTATATTCTGTCAGATCTTTTTTTCTGGTAAACTAGGGAACTCCCACCTGCTACTAGTCGGGTGCGCTCTGAGTAAACCCTGCTCCAGTGCAATCAAGACCGGACACACGTTCAACGAAGCGGTTCGTGCAACACCGCTTCGTCGAAAAACTTTACTAAATATACGTATTAATACGGTGAGAAATCAGATAAGTAGGAAAAAATGACACCAGTTGACATGTACAGATTGTCTCCGTGGTTAAAATTTGTGATTAAGTAGAATTGAACTCGACCTAACTTAAAACTCAACATATCTAATGAACTAAGGTTATTTCTTGTCTAGAAATATGATAATTATACTAGTAGAAATCAAATTAGATGACGAGCTTCCTGATCATCCCTATTTTCTTTTTCTTTTTGACCTTACCATCTTGTTTCTTACATGTGCTTAAGACTTGGCATCGTAATTTCCTTATAGAAGAAGCTAGCCAATCTTGTGTCCGTTGTTAGTATTAGTAATTTCCCAATTCCTTGTGTTCTTTATTGTTAACCAGTCAATTTGGGATATTATTGGATTGGTTTTGAAAGGTTTTTAGAGATGTCCCTGAACTCTTTCATTTATCGTTTGCTGATAATATTTTTTTGGTAATCAATACGGTACGTACTACTAGGCAACAAAATCTTGAAACATACTAGGGTCGACTTACAAACACAAAATAAAGTAATGATACTAATGAATCCAAATTTTGTGGAGATACAGATTTTTTTATCAAAGTTAGAGAATACATTCCTCAAACCTATCCTCTTTAACACAGTTAAGTTAAGGGTGTGATCTAGTGGTCGATGAAATGAGCTGAAAACCATAAGATTCAAATCCCAACGGCAGCAAAAACGTTGAGGAAATGGAGAGCCAGGATCCCTTAATATCATGGTCTAAAATATCTTTCATGATGGTGTAAACCTAACCATTTCTACTGATGTTGTTAAGTTCAAGGTTGAAAATTTTGAACTTGCAAAAATACAACATCGGCATTTTTCGACAAGAGCATGTCCAAAATCAAGTACTCAACCGAAATCTTTTTTCATCTACGAGACAAAGCACTGAAGATCACTGCACACTTGACTTTCACGTGCTACGAACGCCAACTATTTCCTCTGCATTTTGAACCTTGATACTGGCTTTGAACTACGACCAACAGTCTGCTCACTTGGCTTGATATCAAAGGCACCAACGCGTTCAACAATACTTCCAGTAAAAGCCTGCACAGTGGTATTATCGGCTAATATTGAGTAAAAAGTAATAATAATTGTGTGGGATGTAGCTTACTTCTGGTTAGGAGGTACAGGAAAAGGCATACAGGCAAAGCATTCAAATTATATTCCTCTAAGTCAAACACAAGGCAAAACATGCATACAACTGTAAATAATGCAATGATTGTCGTGCAAAATGACATTGGTGCCATGCGATAATGACTTTTTTTTGACAAAAGCAATCAAATGAAAAGTGCAGGTCCATTTTACTTTCCTCCAATTGCCACAACAAGGAATATATGGCGGTGGTGCCATGCGCTCAACGACCACAGTATTTTTGTATACGACATGAATACACAAACAGATATGCATCATAGCGGAACACTGAGCACAGACAACATGAACAAACCAAGACGTCATTTGCAATTTAAGGAATAACATAAAACAGAAACGCAATTGTCGTCATTTAATGTGGTCGACCCATTCAATGTCTCCCAACCCCAGAAAAAAAGAAGATAAAAACAGAAGAGGTGTATAAGAGTGAACTTAATGGACAGATTCGAACCTTATTTTCAGCTATAATGGGAACATTAGTATCCTCCTTCATTCGATTCTGTTTGGGAGCACTCTCAGTTATATTGGACTTGTCATAAGCTAGGCTCCCAGCTAAGTATTCACCTGATTAATGCATAAAATCATTTGAAGATGAAATGAAAAATGCAAATATAGGCATATTGAAGCATGCACTGAATAAGATATGGACATGATTAACGTATATTGAAGTTTCTGTTTAACTATAATATGGAGATCTAAAAAGACCAAAATGCATTTGNCCCCTTCCCCTTTCACTTTAACGTGCTTCAGTAGAAACCAATTCCGCTAAGATAAACAAAAGACGAAGAGTCCTGAAATCAAGAAAATAACTAAAGAACTTTATTGATTCAGGGCAGGCAATAAAGCCGCCTCGGATTTATTTTAAATATTTAATGAAAATAATACTTATCGATAACTATAAATGGAACATGAAACAGAAAATAAATCACACTTTCTTCTTTTGGTTTAATCTCTCAATGCAGAATGTTACTCACCCTTTATATTGTATAGGATATCACTAGAGAAAACAGACAAAGCACCAACATTAAGGGCCTCATTAGCAGAGTATAATAGAAGGTCAAAGTTAATTCAGTATTCAGAAGGCTTGTTAGTTTGGACGATTTTATCATTTACTACGACAAATTTCCAGAAAGGTTCTTGAATGTAACATAAAGTAACTCAGTCTACCCAGTTGTTTACAACCAAGTATCAGAATGAAGAGATCATCACCCGCATATTTCTATCATCCTATCCAAGTAAATTTTCAAAAATCCAGCAGGAAGTAGGCTCATGAACACAGATAGTTTAACAAAAAATATTCTTGGGAAAGGGGCTTACCTTTAGTTACTGTTTTTGAACTTTCAACCTGCATTTCAATATTTCACATGGATTAAGTTGAAAGAAAAGAATGATTCATACATTGTAAAGAATTACTTGGAGCAGGGAAGCCCTATTAACAAAAACAGATATGTTCCAAACAAGGGAAGGGTTTGTACGTGCAACTGCTCAGGAAAACCTTCCGTGGAGTGATTTCTTGTAGATGCTGCTCGTTCCTTGAGATTACCAGAACCATGCACCTAAATAGTATACCAAATGGAATTTAGCAACAACAATGAAATTATGAAAATATACATTTAAGCATTCGATAATTCAATCTTTGCATCCAAATTCAATGACCAGCAACCTACCCCTGAATCTTTGATTTCTTGGTCCCGGATGTGTTGACCTGTGCTGACATCTAATCCAGATTTACCCAGCCCTTCTTCATTGAATTTGGTGTCAATTTCAGCTTCTTCTTCTTCCTTCTCAAGTTCGGCATTTTCAGCCTCTTGTTCCTTCTCAAGTTCGGCATTTTCAGCCTCTTCTTCCTTCTCAAGCTCGGCAATCCGGGATAAAATGCGAGCATATTCCTCATCTTCAACTGCAAGTTCAGCATTGTCTCCTTCAGAAGAAATTGGAAGGTCAGGTTTCAGGATGCCTGGAAAATCAACCAGTACAAATTTTTGTCAATATTTCAAACAGAAACTGGAATATGACTATATTAAAAATCTTTATATGTAGCCTAGAAATCAGTAAGAGGTGGAAACATGCCAACTGTGGATGACCCTTCAGGAGAAGTTTCCTCAACATAGTCTTCTCTGATCTCTACAAGACCTTCCTGTCAAAAGTTCGGTTCGCCATCAAATTCATAAATTTGTACATAACAAGCAATCAATATCTGAAAAAGGATATAAATAAGCAAAGTTTTTTCTGCCAAACAAAATATGCCCGTTAATACAGATGTGGTGCTCACATGCAAATGCATTTCAATACGCACACAAATATTGGTTCTAGCCTTCTAGGAGGTAGTTAGGTACATAGTCGAATTGCGTCCAAGCTGGCCCGGACACCACCATATAAAAAAAAAAAAGGCTAATGTTTCTACCAAATAAAATATTCCCGCTAATACAGATGTGGTGCTCACATGCTAATGCATTTCAATACGCACACAAATATTGGTTCTAGCCTTCTAGGAGGTAGTTAGGTACATAGTCGAGTTGCGTCCAAGCTGGCCCGGACACCACCATATAAAAAAAAAGGCTAATGTTTCACACATTAGCCAGGCAGAGGTCATCCATATTAAACTAATGATGATTGAAAATTTTCCACTGCTGGTAAATGAACAACAATCTTTTGAAAACTTTAAGAACCCAACTAAGCAATTCCTATTTCTTTCCAGAGGCTAGCAAATAGGAGCGAAGGTGGGGGCAAAGGCATGTTGCTAGCTACTATGATCTCTCCCCGGAAATTATTAGAAACTCAAGCAGCTGGAAGAGCTAGATTGTCAGTTAGTTGCTATATTAGTCTGACTAGAGCATCAGTCAAACTCAAGTTGAACTCCGTTAATGTTATATTAGCTTACCGTCACAAAACGAGCTTCTCTGCAACTAATAAGCACTGTGGTTTTATTATCACAAATTGCTAACTTAACCATTTAAGATAAGTAATATGAAAGCGTTCAAACATCCAATGACTCAACAAACAGGCATACCGCAGCCTCAGAAGCTGTAGCATCAAAAAATGAAGCCTCAGCCTTAAGGTCTTGTATCACAGCCTTTACAGATTCCACTTGGGACTCCAAATCCTTCCCTCTTCTTTTCAGTAACTCAGTCGTTTGCTTGGATGTCCTTTCTGCGTAATAACCCTCTCCCAATAGAACCTTACGCCAGAAAAGCAGCAAACTATCAAAATGGACAGTTGTAAGGAAAATAACCCTACACAGAAACTCAAAAAATGACTACCAGGGAATTAAACAACAAGAAATGGCTTCTTTTTTTATCAAGGAAGGCAATTCACAGGAACATTTTAAATCAAGAAAGAAGGAGAAAGGCAAAGTTATATGTCTCCTTGGATTCCAAATAAAACCAGATTAACTAATCTGAAATTAGATAAAGCATGCTGAGCGAAATCTTGGTATTCAACTTCTTTTAGCAACATTTTTTTCCTCAAAATAAAAAAGCATCGGTAGTTTAAACCATTGTGTGCATCGGCATATGGTAAATGTCATAAACTCGGACATAAATCAAAGTTCAGCAGCTCTAATTCAATATCTTTAACTAGAGCTCAATCCCAAATAATTTGGGGTCTGCTATATGAATCCAATAAACCCATTCTGCTCTATTAAGGTCCAGTCAGATTATTCATCATATAGCTAACTATTTACACTGCCGCCAACCTGCTGCATTCCTTCACCTATGCTTCGTGAAGCTCATATAGCTAGAAGCTCTAATATCAATACAAAAAGTCCAAATTTTCCCAAGTACAACTCGAAATTGCTCAAATTTACCCTCTGTTTCACTTTTGGTCCATTCATATCCCCACCGTTAGGAATGTATTGTTTTTGCCCTTGACCCCTAAGGGAGCTCCAATGTAAGATAGGCGGATCCCACGTGTCCATATATGCACGAGAAAAGAAGTCCAAGTTTATCCCTATACTTTGGACTAATGGTTTAAAAAATTACCTTAAGGTTGGAGCTCCGTTAGAGGTCAAGGGCAAGTGCAAGTACAGAACTTTTGCCTAACGACGGGTATGAGTGGACCAAAAGTGAAACAAAGGACACGGTTGAGCAAATTCAAAGTACTGGGGAAAATATGACACGAGAAAAAGATAAAAGGTCTGCACCATCATGAAATTATTGAAGAACTTTACCAAAAATTCATTGGTGTGAATCAAACTACCGGGAAAAAATGCTGCTTTTCCAAACGGGACCTGAAAATTCGTAAGAAAACAGTACATTAATCATATATATAAGAGTTCAACTTATATACACCGATAGTGTTTAAGAAAATTTACTCTATACAAGTAGCGCTTCTTAAAAAGTGAAATTTGTAATCTTAAAAATAAGTCAGATTAAGTCACATATTACCTGCTTACAACATGCAAAAGCGACCAGATAGTGTAAAATTCTTTTAAAACTGCCATTGTGTATAAGTTAAATGGACCTGGAGTTGAACTAATATACACCGGCAAAACCCCTGTAATTAGTGAAGTGAACAGCCTACCTTTGGTTCGAAGCTTTTCAAGGAAGCTTCTACTTGTTGAAGCTTTCTTTCCCCTAATTCCGAAACACAACAATAGACTTGCCACCAAGGGCGGAGCTAGGTGGGCGGAAGGGTTCACTCGTACCCCCTTTGCCATATACTGTAATATATATTAGGTGTTGACTCCCTTAGGTTTTTTGCGTGTTTACTTTTTTTATTTTTTGAGTCCCCCTGGTAAAAATTGTGCTTCCTCTTGCCACTATAGTACAGGAAAAAGCTTGGTTTTTATAAGGGAGAATTTTTAATCTATCAAGTTAACAAATAAATATCCACAGGTAAATCCTATTTAAATAGTGGGATTTCTAATTTTGGAGATAATGCAGATTACTGGCTACAACATATCAAAGCGACCTGATAGTGTAAAATTCATAACACTATCAGCATTAAAGGGAAAAGGTATAAGAAAATTACCATGATATCGTGGTGAAGCTGATCAGGCAATCTCTGAACAAGGTTAATAAGGTTATTGTTGTCTGCGGCGAAATCTCGGAGCAGGTCCAGTTGTTTCTGGCGGTCGGCAATCGTGTCTTGCACGCGCTTCGATGCTTTCTGGGCTTCTTCTACCGGAAACAATGACGACAGTGACGTCACTGTGCCTTTCGCTCGTGCTTCCATGGGAAGATTCTAGAACAGTGCAAGCTTTTGCTCTCCTTGTTCAAAGTTTTTGAACTCGCTTCAATTTTTTGCCAGGGTTTGTTTCTAAGGTAATAATAATAGAAAGTAGTGAAAACACACCCACAATCAAATTCCTTCTGAGAAGGTGGGTTTACTTGAGAAAATGAAATTTCAAAGGACTGAGCCCAAAAAATTAAGAATAAAGAAAAATATAAAAAATTGACTAAAATTTGACTTTTGACGAAAGAAAAATATTTATAATATCAAATATAAATACAAATAAAACTTTGTGATAAATACTTTTTATTGGTTTTCTACTCGGGTATCCGTATTGAAGTCCCAACTAATCTAAATTTATGTTGCGCAAGATCGAATAAAAAAGAAAGTACCTTACTAGAATTTTTTTCATTATCATGGCTCAAAAGTTTATGATAAAAATGACATTTACATGCTATATTAGCTTAACTACATGTTAGTAAATCACCTTATATGACCGGCAAGTGTTGTCTTATGCATATGGAAGGAAATCGCCTAATATTTTGCTTCTACCGAAATTCTTACTCTAGTTTCCCATAATCTTTATTTCAGCTACATCGATCGATAGGTCACACTTTTGGATGCCATACATAAACTTTAATTTTTTAGCAGAAAAAGAATCATGTCAATAACATTGCAAAGGAAATTGCTTATATTTGCAAGTTCGAGCAAGGGAGTAGTAAGAAATGAGTTGCAAAGCCTATATCTTTTACCTTTATGTTTCTTAGTTCCTATATTTGTGAGTATGATGTGTACTGATATAGTAGGGGCAATATCTTTGTTACTAAAAAATAGCTCTTCTTGGTTCTAGAGAGAGACTCTGACCTCTCAATTCAATTATTATACCCCTAACATGGCCCCATCCCACCCCCTATTGAGGACCCACTCCCCTCACCACTACGAAAATCGCCCAATCCACCGGATCCCACGGTAGCACTTGGATATTGAAGCTTCTTCAATGAAGAACTCCTTCAAAGAAATTCTGTAAGACAATCACTTGACAAAGTCAAGCGTCTACCTCACAAGTTACCACCAAAGGGATGCAGCTCTGAAAGCTCCATTAGAAGAAGAAAATGCGGAGGAAATCCTCCTAACCCATCAAATACTCAAACCTAAGTTGCAACAGTTATGGTGCCCCGGTGAGCACCTAACGATCATCGACTTGGGCTTGGACTTCTTCATTGTGAAGTTTCAAGAAAAAGTCAATATGGAAAAGGCCCTACACGGAGGCCCATGGTTCATTATGGGACATTTCCTCTCAGTCCGAAATTGGGAACCCAATTTTGTTCCGGAAAAGTCCAAGATCCAATCAACAGCCATATGGATTAGACTGCCCCAATTACCCACCGAGTTCTACAATAAGGAGATTCAAGAAACCATTGTGTGCATCGGCATATGGTAAATGTCATAAACTCAGACATAAATCAAAGTTCAGCAGCTCTAATTCAATATCTTTAACTAGAGCTCAATCCCAAATAATTTGGGGTCTGCTATATGAATCCACTAAACTCATTCTGCTCTATTAGGGTCCAGTCAGATTATTCATCATATAGCTAACTATTTACACTGCCGCCAACCTACTGCATTCCTTCACCTATGCTTTGTGAAGCTCATTAACTAGAAGCTCTAATATCAATACAAAAAGTCCAAATTTTTCCCAGTACAACTCGAAATTGCTCAAATTTACCCTCTGTTTCACTTTTGATCCATTCATATCCCTACCGTTAGGAATGTATTGTTTTGAGAGCTCCAATGCAAGATAGGCGGACCCCACGTGTCCATATATGCATGAGAAAAGAAGTTCAAGTTTATCCCTATACTTTGGACTAATGGTTTAAAAAATTACCTTAAGGTTGGAGCTCCGTTAGAGGTCAAGGGCAAGTACAGGACTTTTGCCTAACGACGGGTATGAATGGACCAAAAGTGAAACAAAGGACAAAGTTGAGCAAATTCAATGTACTGGGGAAAGTATGACACAAGAAAAAGATAAAAGGTCTGCACCATCATGAAATTATTGAAGAATTTTACCAGAAATTCATTGGCGTGAATCAAACAACCTGGAAAAAATGTTGCTTTTCCAAACGGGACCTGAAAATTCGTAAGAAAACAATACACTAATCATATATATAAGAGTTTAACTTATATACACCGATAGTGTTAAGAAAAATTTCCTCTATACAAGTAGCGCTTCTTAAAAAGTGAAATTTGTAATCTTAAAAATAAGTCAGATTAAAGTCATACTACCTGCTTACAACATGCAAAAGCGACCAGATAGTGTAAAATTCTTTTAAAATTGTCATTGTGCATAAGTTAAATGGACCTGGAGTTGAACTAATATACACCGACACAACCCATGTCTTTAATCCTAAGTAAAGTGAAGTCAAATCAGTGAAGTGAACAGCCTACCTCTTGGTTCGAAACTTTTCAAGGAAGCTTCTACTTGTTGAAGCTTTCTTTCCCGTAATTCCGAAACACAACAATAGAATTGCCACCAAGGGCGGAGCTAGGTGGGCGGAAGGGGTTCAGTCAAACCCCCTTTGCCGAAAATATACTGTAAAAAAATAGGTTAACTTCTTATTAACTTTACTTATGATTCTTTAATTGAGAAAGCGTCCAAAGTAAATTAAAATTTGCGGACATACAAACAATTTTGACTTATAAAAGTACCATTGGTGAAAAAAAATGTCGACTCCGTTTTAAAAAATTTTAAGAAAACTTTCTAAACTGCTTTTTAAATTATATTGGCTAACATATATTAACAATTTCAAAGAAAATAGAAACATAACAAACTTTATAAGAAAATACATGTCGAACTATCTCTTGATTTTTAAAATGTTAAGAAAACTTTCTAAATTTTCAGGAGTACTTCTTATAGTGAAAAAAAATATTAACAAATAATTTTCTACACTTAGCAAAGTCATGAAAATAACTGGTTTAACGTTTTTTATTGGAGAGGCTATTTTTTTAATGCAGCAATTGCAAGCACAAATTGCAGAAGTAAAAGCAGCTTGGAATCAAGTAACCAAGGATGTTTTTTGAGCTTGTGGCTTATTGGACTGAAATTTCCATACATAAGCTGCTATATTTAATAGTGAAACATCTTATCCAAAAAGCTCACTCACATAATCACCTGTGTCAGTACTAATCATAACCAAAATGTATAAGTTCGCCAAAATGAAAATATGACATGAAAAAAGTTTAATTGCAAGGTACAATCACATATTTTTAATTCTATGCTCTGCTGATGATTTGAATCATTACTTTAATGTTATGACTCCTTGTGATGTGACTTCAATATGGATCAAAACTTTCATTTTTAGAACAACAATATGGAAAATTCAACACTAAAGCCCCAACTTTTTTTTAACATCATCTAACTCCATGAAAGATGGCAGCAATCAATTTTGTCATTGCATACTTCTGCCCAGTTCGACTAAAGCTAATGCCTTTCACAACCAATGATTTTAATTTTACTCTACCAACATCAACAACAACAACAACCCAGTAAAATCCCACAAGTGGAGTTTGGGGAGGGTAAAGTGTACGCAGACCTTACCAGAACCCCGGAGGGGTAGAGAGGCTGCTTCTGAAAGACCCTCGGCTCAAGAAGAAGAAAATAAATAATAGACAATAGACAATAGACAATAGATCAGTAACTATAATAGAAGCCAGAAAAATAGTATCAGCATGAAAATAAATGTAAAAACAATAACAATAATCAGCAATAATGCCATAGAAAATAGTGTGGAAACTACATAAACCACTAACAACCCACAACGAAATATTATCAGCCCAGTCCAGCCCCCGAAACAACATAGAAAAACGCTCGACTCCCTCCTAACCTAGAAAAAATTGCAGATTTATAGATGCAGGTAGTATGCATAAATGTATCAAATGCATATGGTAAACTTTCCTGTTAAAAGCATAAACACTTGATCAGTTTGATGTAATAACTTTAACCCAACTTTTGTGGGCAAAAGCAATTTTTTTCTTCATTATTTCTCTGGTAAGCAGTGCAAATAAATATAGGTTGGAGTTATAGTAAACATGGCCAGTTCAAATATACAGCAAATCAGGCAACTATTGTAACTAAGTGGGTTGAATCACGAGTTGTCAAGTGCCATTAGTTCTTTCTCTTTGTGGTTGGTGGAGTTATGATATGGAAGGAATCCTCAACGTAATAAAGTTATAGGGCACAAGATCTTCTGTGGTCAGCAACAGAAACGAACTGCTTCAGTAGATATACATATAATTGTTCGACAAAGAAAGCTCAAGATTGTTCTTATTTACAAAAAAGGTCATGCTAACTCAGGCTCTTTCTGCACACCAGAGGAAACATGAAATGCACTTTCCTGTCCCTAGCACGTAGCATTACAACTATCGGTTTTGCAGATAACTAATTTTTCACCAGCTCAAGATACCATGAACGCATATGGGCATCATCGATATAGCATACTAGTTGGTAACCACCAATGGAAAGGAGAGAGATGAGATGCTCCCATCAGCACATTAACATAAGACAGATAAGCCCTATTCTGCTCAATCCAACATCTTTTTCAGGCAAAGAAAGCAGGAATTAAAGAATATATGCAATTTTGATTGATAGATTTAACTGGGGCTGCAACAAGATAACACATCCTGAAGAAAAATGCATCAAAGAATGGAGTGGATTGGTAAGTATCAAGAATTTAAGATCTATGATCCCGCAAAAGAAAACAGAAAAGACAATACACATGCAATCTTGACATTCTTTTGACAGATCCATCTGATCTAAGGAACAAGACACCTGAAAGAATGAAGTGGTGAGATAAAACCACAGAATACTTAAAGAAGCTACAGAAAAAGACATGACGTGCCAGGTCACTTCAAGTTTCCTTTCCACATAAATAACCCCCAAAGTTATTTTCTTTACAACTTTCTATTTGCTGCACTCTTTTGTTTCCTTCAATATCAGCTAGTAACCTTGAGATGGGTTTCTCTCTTGCCAGTTTAGCAGATAGACCAAGTAATATGAATTACATGCACTTACTTCTAAGAGGAGATTGAGAATAAGACGTGAAAATAGACTACCATAATCACATACCAAAACGCTGATGAGAGAAACCACAAGGACAATGAATTGAAATCAACTTGTCAAGGAAAAGAAATATAAAATAAAATTGAAACAATATCCCCCCCTACCCCCACTTCCACCATAGAGAAGAAAACTATCCATAAAATCATCAGCTATGCCATGACAGACAAAGGATTATAGGATTCAGTTATAGATTTGCTATCTATAACTGACTTATAAATGTATTGTCCTTTTATTGCATTCTATCGACACCTTACAAAGGTTGATCGCATGAACCAGACTTCTTTTGTGTGCAAAATAAACCAAGCTTTCGATATTTCAACAGTTAAAGTTCTGAAGAAACCCCTCTGGAGAAGACTATATATAACCAGATTAACAAAGGAGGCATTTGCGGTGCGCCAAAAAAGTCATGAAGAAGACTCAATTACAAGCAAGTTGAAGTTCGCTATATCTATCCTCACTGACCATATAAACTCGTCTCAACAGCAATAGTTCTTTCATGGATTCAGCCTTGTTTAAAATTGTAAAATTAGCTACAAAGATATATGCCGCAACTCTGATTTCAATTGGACTGTATATACAAACTTATAAGTTCATCGTATTAGGTGCTTCCATGTCTTCTATCCATAGTCCCTTTCATTTTAAGTGAAAGTAGAACAAGCATAATCGGACAGAAGTAAAAGAATGTGTTTATCAAAAATATTACCAGAGAAAGAAAAAAGGAGCAGCGAAATGATTTTTCAGAATAACCAAGACAACGAACAGCGCATGGAACATCGAAAAAGAAATCGCATGGTTTCAAACACAAAATCAAAACCTAACAAATAAATCCCCCGATTTTGCAAACTAGAAATCACAAAATGTATCATGTAATACAAACAAAGTAGAAGCAAAATAATGGGTCAATCAGAACTATTACCAGATAAAGAAAACAGAAGGGGAAAAAGAAATCAGAAGTGGAAAAAGAAAGCGAAAACCGAACAGTTATACAAACATTGAGCAAGGGAAAAAATCGATAGCGTACCTCGGAGACTGCTCGTATGTTACCCGAATTTGGTCGTCATTCACCGGCAGTTGTCGTCCTTCGCCGGAGCTGGCCGACAGAGTTCGTCGATGGTGAGACTAGGTTGAGGCTGAGAGAGAAGATGTCTAATTTCAGGTTTTAATTTTACTCTAACATTATTCTTTATTTAGTAGTGTAAAACTGTAAATAAGCAACTTTCAGTCATATTGATTCAGTAGACTGGAAGCGACAAAAAAAACTGAAATAGGAGTTGAACAATTATGAGTCCGGTTTTCCAGAGTCCACAATCAATCGCAATTTTTTGCGGTAAAACACAAAAAATAGTGGACCAAGAATTTACCCAATTTAAATAATTTTTACGAAAAAAATAAAAAAACAAAACTCACCTTATAATTATACAAGCAACTGACCAAGCACATAAATTGAGTAGGAAGAGAGAAGACTGGAAGGGACAAAGAAAACTAAAAAAGGAGTTGAACAATTATGAGAATCCGGAGGAAGAAGCTAAAAGGGAAAGTTAAAGGAAGTACACATATAATTTGCAACTAAAATTTGCATTACTATCATACTATTGAAGTATTGATATAAACGATACAAGCGCCTGACTTGGTAGAGTACTACTCATATTATTTTGAAAAGTTTAACCTTATTGTATTGGGCCCGGGCCAGCACGGGCCTACACTAATGAAGTTTGGGGATTGTAGAGAGGCTGTTTTCGATATACTCTTGACTCCCTCCCTTCAAGAACTCCCCATCTTGCTCTTGGTGTGACTCGAACTAACAACTTCTTGGTTGAAAGTAGTTGTATAGTAGTGTATCCACTAGTATACACTATATACAGGATACAACATTGCAATTAAAACGTTTCAATCTCATTAATTCCTAGCATTTGAAGTAGTAATTCTTTTTTTGAAAAATGTTACTCCTTCCGTCTCAATTTATGTGGGTGTTTAGCTCGGCAAAGAGTTTAAGAAAGAAAATAAGACTTTTGAACTTGTAGCCTAAACAAACAATAGATATTCATGCGACTGTAATTAAATCAATTCATTAAGGGTAAAATAATAATTCTAAAGATAAATTATTTTCAAATAAGAAAAGGTGACATAATTCTAAAGATAAATTATTTTCAAATAAGAAAAACTGACATTCTTTTTGGGACTAATTAAAAGAAAAAGAGTGTCACGTAAATTGGGACGCAGAAAATAATAATTTTCTTTTCTTTCTCGTTCTCCCCTATCTCTTCCCCTCTATTGATCCGCTTGAAGTTTCAAACTGTATTTCATTTTAACTCTATGTCAACTCCTTTCTAATTAGAAAAGAATGTGAAAGGGACATGACACTTGATTCTTAGAATTCATAAATGGCCATGATTCAAATTTAAATTATATACATTGACGATATCTTCTTTCAGATTCGAGGTATACATATTGGAAAAAAATGTTATNATATATTAGTACTTATTTTTCTTCCTGAAGTCGATAGTGTCAAAAATATTTCGGTGACAAAGTTAAAAGGAGTTGCATATACTAATTCGGAACGTTTAAAGTTAAATTATTTAGTCTGACACACCATTTTTATCAATCAAAGCATAGTAATAATAAATCAAATGAAAAAGGAAAATACACAGTAACTATCTTCCCTATAAAACATCCAAATCAAACAAATCAAACGACATAAAAATAAAGTAAACTACCGAAACAATTAAACCAAGCTACTAAATATTGCTGCAATTATCAAACTAAAGAACCAAACTAAACCACTTGAACCACCCATAATACTAGCTGCAGCTGATTTTGTAGGAGCTGGTGCTGGTGAAGGCGACGGCGACGGCGTTTCGACAGATGTCTTATTGTGATTGGGAGATAACACAACAACAATTAGTTTCTCGCCATTTTTGCAATTAGCAGCATGTCCACTTATGAAATAGAATGGACCTGATTTTGGAAACTTGAATTTGGAATGACCATTTTTGAGAGCATGAATTGGCTTGCCCTTTTTGCATTTGATGTAATCATCTTTGTGAACTATGAGAACTGAATCATGGCCTTTCTTGTACTTGAAAACTACAATGAGAAAAAAAAAATCAAGAAATCAACTCATTTAAACAAGAAAAGTCTAAAAAGTATGAAATAATAAATAAATGAATTTAACTTTTATGCTTTGACAATGTAAAACATTATAGGATTATTCAAAAGATAATTAACTACAATAATAGTGTGCAAAAAGTGAGACTATAACCTAAAAAATAAGGCAAGTTGCCTACTACGTCAATATGTTAAAATACAATAACGATCAATAGAATGCAACACAAATACACAAAAAGTATATGTATCAGGTGGGGGATGTAGCCTTAGTGATACTGCTTCAACTTAACACAATATTTTTTAACACGCAACATAAATATATATGTGTGTGTGTGTCTGAAAATTAATAAAGTTTCAACAAATATTAAATTCTAACCATAATTTTAAAATCAAAGTGGTAGTGAGTTTAGAAATAAGAAATTCAAATATTGAAACAATAAAATTAAAATACACAGACAATCAATAGAATGCAGTGCAAACAAAAAAAAGTATATGAACTCAATGGGGGATGTAGCCTTAGTTTTAATATTTTTAAACATGTAATATAATTATACATGTGTGCGAAAAATAATTATTAAGTATTAAGTACAAAATGACCGTAATTTTATATGTGTTCACTTTGTGCTTAACAAAATTTTAATAAATATTAAATTCTGATTCCGTAATTTTAAAAGTATAGTGAATTTAGTACTAAGAAATACCAATGGTATCATTGACTTGAAAGCGATTTCTTTCCGCCCAATGATTGTATGATTCAGAAGGCTTTAAAATCCAACCACTTTTGCCACCAGCATAGAATGTATAAGCTTGAGATGAGCAGAAAAATCCCAAGAAAATCAGAAATAAAAAGCTAATGTATAAAGGATATTCCATGGTTTCAGAATAAGAAGAGTAAAAAATTCAGCAGTCTAAAGATGAAAATTGCACAAAATGAGGAAGAAAATAGAAGAGAGAAAAAAGGTAAACAATTAGGAGAATTTCAGGGGTTTTATTAGGGGGAAATTATTAGCAGTATTTATAGAGATAGTGTATGAAATTACCGTTGGGTTGTTTTGGGTGTATATCGAAAGTCTTAGCTGTGCATTTTTTACTATATGTTAAAACCTCATAAATTTGGTGAGGTAGTGTTTAGTGATGAATGAATTGTATTTTCCAGAAAAATGTTTACATCTGCCCTTCTATTGGAGAAATAAAATGTCATTCCAAATTCGAAAATAACGTTTTTCTTGACGGTACAATTTTTTTTACACTATCAATATATTTTAACTTGTTGTAATATGTTGTTTTTCTTATTTCTAAGTAATAGGACTAATTATTACGGACGGTCATCTATAGCTATTTTTAAGTCAGCTGATAAAATTATCAAGATACGTGTTGTTTCTTTCGCTTCAGTTTTAATTATCTTGTTGTTGTTATTGTTTGTTGATACTGTTTCTTTATTTTTTTTTTTTCATCTTTTCTTGAGCCACGAGTGTCATTAAAAATAGTCTCTCTGCCTTCTCAATGTAAGGGTAAGGTTGACGGACACACTACCCTCCCCAGACCCAATTCTAAAATTACACTGGGCTGCTTGTTGTTGGTGGTGGTGGTGTTGTTGTTATTGTAGTAGTAGTATTGTAACTCATTCTAAAAATAAGCAAACGAGGAAGCAAATTGTTATAATTACTTGGGGGAAAAATAGTATGTACGTTGGCGAAAATGTCTATCCAAATTCAAAAATAACGTTTTTCTTAATAGTATAATACTAAATTTACACTATCAATGCATTTTAACTCATTATAACATGTTACTTTCCTTTTTCTAAGTAATAAATCTTACTTATTATGGACGATCATCTATAGCTATTTTAAGTTATCTGATAAAATAAGATATTTATATTGTCAAGAGTGTATAAAAATTGGAGTAACTCATCCTACAAATAAGCAAACGAGCTGAAGCAAATTGTTATTATTACTCGGGGAAAACAATAGTATGTACGTTGGCCAAAATATAACGTGTATAGCCAAGTTTTTACTAATTATTAGCAGTCATAATGAAGAAAGATAACGTTCCAATTAACCACTTCGTTATCCGTTACTATTTTATTATTTTTTGCAAGACTACATTATTGGACATCAGTTTTGCAGAATCTCTGATTAGGAAATTCTATTAGTTTGGAAATTTATACAACTTGAAAGAGAAATTTCTTTAAAATGCCTAACAATTTATTAGTTTCTATAGCTTTTCTAGCCCATTAAATCAATTAAAATAATATCATGCTACTGTTACAAAAAAATGAAACAACTTATAGAAATTTATTTTGATTAGTTAATCAGATTTAAACATTTCGAAAACTACAGAATGCTTCAAGAGGATTTTGATTATATAGCATTTCATCAGAAACAAACTTCTATCCGTTATTTAATTATTTTTTCCACAGCCAATAATAACCATATGTTTAGGTGCATTCTAAGAATAAATCGTTATAGACTCCTCGTTTTTCATTTATGAGTCAATTAAATTAAAAGAATCAGTTATATATACCTTTCTTGACCTGGAATATTATTATAATTAATACTTTCAGATCATTGGCAATTTATATTTTGTTAGCGTCTTTTTTCTGGTAAACTAGGGAACTCCCAGCTGCTACTAGTCGGGTGCGCTCTGAGTAAACCCTGCTCCTGTGCAATCAGGGTCGGACACACGTTCAACGAAGCGGTTCGTGCAACACCGCTTCGTCGAAAAACTTTACTAAATATATGTATTAATACGGTGAGAAATCAGATAAGTAGGAAAAATGACACCACTTGACATGTACAGATTGTCTCCTAGTGCATTGATTATGTGTTTGATTTTGTTCTAAGAGGTTAAAGGTTCGAACATCAACTAGTGTATAGGAAAAAATACGACATGACATGTAGCCGCTTAAAGGACGGACACGTGGAACACAAGATGGGGATGACACCGAACATAGCTATTTCGCCTTTCACCGGAAGGAATAATAATCATCAAAGGAATATTAAATGTTTTGCCCCCAGTAACATTTGATGGCCCGTTACAAGGAATTTGGCATTTATGTCTAACATTACATCTTCATCAATGACCCTCATAATTGACATTAAAGAAGGGCATGATCCTAAGACCTTCTTCCCTAGACATAACTATACATAGAGAGCTCAATTATTATTGCAGGGAGGAGTTTTTTGATTAACTTACACTACATTCTATACAGCGTTTTAATACAATTTTATTCTTTTATTCTCTCGCTTTTGATCTGATCATTGTTGTGCCCGGAAACCCTGTTCCCGGACTCACTAAGCTCTGCCGTTTCATCTACATTCTAAGGCTAAGTATTTTATATTTCATCAGTTATTTCATTACCTTTTGGATCAAATTAATTTATTTGTTTAGAAATCACGAACAAATTCAACTGTACCGTTTTACAGATAAACAGTTTAGCGCCCA